ATCATGCAACAGGTTCCAAGGATACGTTTGACGCGTGGTTCGGGATAGAATAATGACGGTCACTTGTGTTAGCATAACAAAGACTGGCTCTTTAGCTTGCCAGGACAGAAAAGTCAGGAGAATACCACAGAAGATTGTCAGTCAACTGGGAGGTTACCGAACACAGAGCATTTATCTACTCTGTACTATGAACTGAGTGAAAAACATGGAATTCGCTTGGGTTATCGGAGGCATTCAATTCCCACATATTTTTAGACCCAAACAATATTTCCGAAGCCAAATAAAACCGCTTTCAACCCAAGGAGTCGCGTCACCAATTCTGACTCTCTCTTCCCATCCGTGTAATTACCCTTGTTTCGTGCACCTTGCAAGGACTCAGGTTGCCATCCATCTCGGCATTATGCTAAGGTCGCCCACTGTGGTGCAGCCCAATACATATGAATATGTCTGCAATTGATTGGGATCCTCGATATATTCATTAAGCCTGGAAGCTTCGACGCTTGGCATCCTTTTCGACCTCTTGGGTGACACGGAGGACCTCTTTCTCCTCCTTGTCGTCGGCAAGCTTTGCTCTGGCGACCTCGGAGAAGATAGCTGAAAGATCCGAGTTCTCTGGGTCCTCCTCCATAGCCTTGAGCTTCTCGATACGTGCCTGGAGCTTGATCTTCTCGATGATGCGCCTGAATCGGCTTCTGGCGCGGAAAGACTTGATCTCGGGCAACAAGTTGTAGTCGGTAGCGTTCTTTCCGGTGAGCCAGATATGACCCAAAGCTTCCTGTATCGTGGAGTTAGCTCAAGCATTTCCTCTAGTGACGACAGTGATGCTCTACCTCGCTGGTCCAACGCTGATCAGCATCTGGGTTGATGAGATGCAAGATGAAGTCTTTTGCATCGTTGCTGACATCCTTCCAGTATCGCTCGTGGAAGACGACGGAGTTCTCAGTGCACTCCCGGATAAGGTCCTGGAGGTTCTCACTGCGGAAAGGCGAGTAACCACAGAGCAAAGTGTAAGTGATGACACCCATGGACCACATATCCACAGGCTTTCCGTGACCTTCCTTGCGCATCACCTCGGGGGCAGCATAACCGAAAGAGCCAGCCATGGTCTTGAGAGACTCGCCCTTTCCGTCGAGCATCTTAGCAATACCGAAGTCGGCCAGCACGAGGTCAGATTCGGGATCTTTGCTGAGGTAGAGGAGGTTCTCGGGCTTGAGATCTGAAAGCCGGGTTAGCTGGTGTCCAGGGATGTGCTGGTTGAAGCACTGTACCTCTGTGAACAATGTTGTTCTTGTGAAGGAAATCGACAGCAAGTAGAATTTGCTTAATAGTCTCGGCGGCATCCTTCTCCGTGAACTTGCCCTGCTCGCAAATGCGATCGAAGAGCTCACCGCCGGTAGCAAGCTGCGTCACGATATAAAACTTATCCTGAAAACGCGGAAACAGTGAGCTACATGACATGTGGGAAACCGAAAGGAGGGGCAGTGAACCGGGCCAGGAATCCAAGACGCTGACCTGAGCGGGGACTGGGATGGAGATTTGGGTTTGGATGGGCTTACTCTCGACTCAAACCAGTCAACAAACTTGACAATGTGAGGATGCTTGAGTTTCTGAAGCATCTCGAGCTCGTCATAGACCATCTGTTCATTTCCCTTCACATTTCGTTTGAGGATTATCTTTACGGCAACCTTGCCAGTGGGCCCATCAGCCTCCCGGACGACTCCGTATGTTCCAGCTCCGAGGGTCCGACCAAATCTGTACTTAGCTCTAGAGTAGAAAGTATTTGTTAGGATTCAGCGGATTTGTGGTCGAGGTCAGGGGATTTCGGGTTGCGCACTTCTTATCGTAGCTCTCGGGCTGGCCGTGAAGCCTGTTCAACATGCCGGCGACTACACATCAGGACGGTGGTCAGCATATAATTCAGGGTGGAACAAAGGCTTGTAGGAGGAGAATCAAGTAACAGGACGGCTCTTGAAAGTACAACACCGAGCGCAAAGGCCGAACCGCCAGAGCGGGGAGAGGAATGAGGCTGTGAATAGTCGCAACTTACAACTCATGGCGGCAGTTTTGGCGGGGTAGAAAGCGACCCGTTTAGATTTTGGAGACGGTAATCTGGAGGGGAAACGAAGATAAGATCGAGTCTGTCTCTCGCTGTCTTTGCTGATAAGATGAGATAACTTGTGCCCGCGCGACAATTCAGTCTCAGACGCAAAGAGCGCTATAATAAGTCCGAGAGGATGAAGCCTCTGGGATAACGAGAGTTATGTAAGAAGAGAAAGAAGGCGACGAAGACGGGACAAGAAGGAGGTCCTTGTTAATTAGCTTGCGACACCTAGCTACGGGACCCTCCACTGACGACTAACGAACCGGGCAGGACCTGGGGGCCCTGGGGCTGTCAGCAGCTCAGCCAGAGAGCGCCATATGCCACCCTTGGGGGACTTTCAGTTTAGCACTCCACTAGCGGGTGCCACCATGAAGGGCTGTGGTTGGTTGCAGGAGGAGGAGTGTGGCTCAGGCATTTACGATCCCTGGGCTGAAGGCATCGCCAGATCCATCTGATGGATGCTGACAGGGAAGAAACCGCACCTGCAATACCGGTAATTGCAGGCGAGGCTGAGTCTTTGTGGATCATGAAATATCCATTCCTGGAAGCAATCGTCGAGTTTTCGCTTAGGTTCGTGGCTGAGCAGAACAAAACTGCAGCAAGGAGGTATCATCGTAATTGATTGCTTCCATCCTTTCCAAGGTGGGCAGGTTGCCTCTCAATCCATCAAGCCTTATGAGGCTGCTTACGGGCGTTGTTGGTATTTCCCTGCTATGCCTTGCGTGCTATCAACATTCGTGTACCCTCTAGTATGGAGGCCTTATTAAGTTACTACAGAGACTAGGCCAAGTCCCAAACCGAAATCAGGGCTAATATGACGGGAAGATACTAAAGATAAAGGATCATCAACCTTCGATTAGTACTCTGACAGCTTCATGCCTCATATCGAATACTAACGGGACAAGTCGATCGAAGAGTATCATAGCATAGCTGGATAGGTTCACCCAATAGCACAACACGAATCAATTTATGGGTCTAGCTCAGTTAAGTCTGGTCCATGTCTTCACACTTGTTGTCGATCTTTTAAGACTGGACGCGACTGACCCTGGGCGCTAGATCAGAAAAGAGCATGCTATAGACAGCCCACAGTGATGGAAAGGCCAACATTCCAAGTCTGGCAAACACTTTTGATTTTATTATATAAAAGTCTGAAAACAAAAGACCCTGCAATGCCCTGTCGTAAAGGAAAAGTTTCAGTATATCTTGAACCAATCATACCCAGGCAGGCATTCCCGAGTCCGGCTGTCCTCAGGTCCATTCCATGACGGGGCCCATCTTTCCACTACCTATCATGGGGGGGGTGTTCTCGATTGTGGGCGCAGCATCGCAAACGGCCCCTCCTTGCCCAGTGTTTGACTGTTCCACCAAACCACGCCTAACACTGGTTCGAAACCTTCCACCTACATCTGATCCTCCGCCACGCTTCTTTCGCTTCCCACGTTAATTGATTTCAACACCAAGGGATCAACTACACCTCATCAACGATGGCTGGAGCCACGCGGGATAGGCGTTTGGTCAAGGAGCTGGGCAAGGTTGGTTCTTCACATCCCTTCATCCACACATCATGGACTTGACTGACGCTCTCGTGCCCCGCAGATTCATAAGGATGGAATGCCTCCTGGTATCACATTGATAGAACGAAACGACAGTGTTGCTGGCGACTGGTTCGTTGATATCCAGGTTCTCGACGACAATCCGCTTTACAAGAACCAAATCTACCGCCTCAAGTTCCACTTTCCCAAGATGTATCCCATAGGTCCGTGGATGAATCGCAATATGCCTCCAATCCTCCTACATGGTTCATATGCTAACTATACCGTATAGAGCCTCCCGAGGTAACCTTCGATAAGCAAACCGATCGTCCCATTCCTATGCATCCTCACATATACTCCAACGGCATCATCTGTCTCGATCTCTTAGGCCAACAGGGTTGGAGTCCCGTCCAGAGCGTTTCGAGCGTATGCATGAGCATCCAAAGCATGTTGACGAGCAACGACAAAAATGAGCGACCTCCTGGTGATGAGGACTTCGTACGAGGCAATAAGCAACGGCCCCGGGACATCGAGTTCCTCTACCACGATAACACCGTGTGAACGAGACGATGCGGATTCGTCATATGCAGACGAATGCATAGGGACTCGGGATATTAATAGCATTCATTTGGCGTTCAGGACACACCATCTGGTCGTGATGGGAGATCAGTTTATGGGATATAGCATTTGCATTTACTGAAGGAACACAGTTTTTGAGACTGCCCATTTGCATGCCTTAGGCTGAGGCTGGGCATGAGCATATCTAGTACGCAGTCAACATGGCTAAATGATGAATGTCGTAAAGGCGGCGGATGATGGTCTCCGCAGAACACAATGGACAGGTGTACGATATTTCTAGTTGCTTGTGATGATTATGAGAATCTGCTAGACATTTGCTCGCTACAATGCCAGACATCTTTACACCTGTTGCTAATGGCTCCATCGACTGAAGTGATAGGTTAAGCAGTGTCTTCTCATACACCCGCGACAGATATAAAGACGGTCGCCTATTTCCACACACATCTACTTGTGTACTACAGCATATTGTATATACTGTAATTATCCATGATCCTGAATCCTGATACTGGTTAAATCAGCAAGATTAAGCCCCGAACCCATTTAGACCTGACTTCATTTTATAGGTCGGCCCCACCAATGAAGCGTTGCTGCAGTGGCTGGTGCAGGAGCTCAAGAGCCCCCCCCCCCCCACTTTACTGCCGTCATCCGCAACCTTACGGAGCTCCATCATTCCGCGCCTGATCCGTCCACTTGAACCAAAGCTATCTCAGTAACTTAGCTCAAACTCACCTCACTCCCTCTTGAGTTTCTCTCGCTAATCCCGCGCAAAATCGCGTTCAGCCGATCCCATGGCTCCTCGGATAGAATTCAACGTCGAGCAGATTCGCAACAAGGCGAGAAAAGATCTGTTGTATCTCCTCGAAGGCGTACGTTCCCACCGCCTTGCCCCGCGAGCTTCACCTAAGCCGATAGCTATTTTTTTCATGCATGCGGCGAACTCAACTCACACCATACTTCTATGTAGGTTCGCGGGAAGAAGAATGTCGTTCTAGATCAAAGCCTCGTCGGCCCAATCGGGACTATAGTCAAGGTTGCCGTCCTTCAAGAATATGGAGTAGATAAGTTCTTCATTCTAGAAAATGACAATGCCGATACCAGCCAGCGCAATGTTGTCTTTATTTCTCGTGGCGAATGCGGCCGCCATGCTGAAGCTATAGCTGGTCAGTTGCCATTCTGTGATATTGAAGTTGCACTCTGACCCCCTCCTAGCTCAAATTAAGCGTATTCAGCGCGAAAGCCAAACCGGGCACGACTTTCACATATTCTGGGTCCCTCGCAGAACGCTCGTCTCCGACAAGCTTCTAGAAGAGGCTGGTGTATTAGGCGACGTCAACATTGCGGAGTTGCCGCTATCGTTCTTCCCTCTTGAGAAGGATGTTCTGTCACTCGAGCTCGACGACTCATTCCGCGATCTGTACCTATCCAAAGATGTTACACCCAACTTCCTCATGGCCAAAGCCCTTATGGAGATTCAAAGGAATCACGGCCTCTTTCCACGAGTGATAGGGAAGGGCGATAACGCAAAGCGCGTTGCTGACTTGCTTTCTCGCATGCGCCAGGAGCTCCTTGCTGGTGAAGATACGTCAGAAGCGAATAAGATTGGGTTGACGCCTAGCACAACGAATGAGAGCGTGATTATCATCGATCGCGAAGTTGACTTTGTTACACCCTTGCTCACTCAACTGACATACGAGGGACTCATCGACGAAGTCTTCGAGATCCACAACAATCAGACCAAAGTCGACACAACAGTTGTCGGTGCACCGGCACAGGCCTCGGCTGCGACTTCACAAAGTCGGAAGCGAACGATCCAGTTGGACTCGAGCGACAAGCTTTATGAACAATTACGTGATGCCAACTTCGCGATCGTTGGGAGCCTCCTCAACAAAGTTGCGAGACGGCTACAGAAGGTGCAGAGCGATTACGAGAGTAAACACAAAACAAAGACTATTGCGGAACTCAAAGACTTTGTTAGTCAATTGCCAGGATATCAACAAGAACAACAGAGTGCGAGAATACACACAGGCCTCGCCGAGGAGATCATTAAACATACCCGGACAGACCAGTTCAAGGGACTTTTGGAGGTTCAGCAGAATCTCGCAGCTGGAGCTGACCCGTCAAGCCAATTCGATGGCATCGAAGAATTAATAGCGCGAGACGCCCCGATTGCGCAAACTCTGAGATTACTGTGTATCTACTCGTGCATATCTGGAGGCATAAGACCTAAGGAATTTGACCAATTCAGGCGACTCATTCTTGAAGGCTACGGTTACCAGCATCTTCTCACGCTTAGCAATCTCGAGAAACTACAGCTCTTTCTGTCGAAGTCATCACCCCTGGCTGGAATGATCCCCATCCCAGGCAACAACGCCGGCGCAACGGGGAGCAAGACGAATTATACCTATCTTCGCAAGCAGCTTCGGCTCATCGTCGATGAGGTTCAAGAGGATGACCCCAACGATATTTCCTACGTGTACAGTGGCTATGCCCCTCTTTCGATTCGCCTCGTACAATGCATTCTGCAGAAGCAATATCTGCTCTCGGTGACCAAGGGGAACAGCGCTAGCGCAGCGGGAGCGCCTGCAGGCGTGGGTACGCAAGGATGGCAAGGTTTCGATGAAGCTGTCAAACACGTTCGTGGGCAGACGTTTTATGATCATCAGAAGGGTGAAGATAAGGCTGTCAAAGCGCGGGCATTGCTCTCTGGAAGTGGCAACAAGCAGACTGTCTTTGTTGTCTTCGTTGGCGGCATCACTTTCACCGAGATTGCTGCTTTAAGGTTTATTGCAAAGCAGGAAGAAGGTAAGCACTCTCACAGCCCCCAGAGCTGCTCTGAAACGGAATCTGACATAGCCTCTACAGGACGGAGAAATATTGTAATTTGCACAACGTCAATCATCAATGGAAATAAGATGATGGAATCGGCAATCGAGAAAGAATCGTTTGCGAAGGAGAGCGTGCCCGTTTCAACGACCTGACGTGTCGGCATATGTATGATACCTAGAATATTGACAAGTACTGGTTGCTTGGTTGGCGCATTTCGATGGCGTATGGATGATTTGAGCAAGATACAGGGTACATATATAAGTTACGGCGAAAACACAGAGCTAATTCTTTGATAGATTGTTTCAGAACGCTAATAACATCGCATCATACTGAATAAAAACGAAGCTCATTGTTAAAAGTTGAGAACTGAAATGTCGTTCGAACGAACCATAGACCCACACCCGTTGGAGGCGTCTGATTCGCCGCACGTGACTGAAGTCGAAGGTTGCTTTCCTTATTCTGAGGGGCTGAATAGCTGACGATGGATGGCAAGTTCCTCTTAGACAAAGGAGACAACATTTGACAACTGAGTTGTCTTCTGAAATAACTCACGCTGAATCAGCCATGGACTAGACTGTCCAAAAAATCGACATCGAGAAAAAGCATGTTGCTGTAAAGAGTCTAACCACTCGAATCTTCTCACTGCCTACCTACCTACCTACCTTATTCATTAATCCTCGACATCGATTGAGTTCAGAGGGTTGGCCATTTCATACATGTCCTCTAAATTCCACATTCAAAAAAGCTGACAATCCAGTAGCGTGCTCAGTTTTCTTCAGTTCTTTCGCATAATGCAACTTTCCTCATTTCACTCGGCTCTTGACAATAATCTTCCTTCCGCCAGACAGTAGCGGCCGTTCAAATTCTGACAGACCAATACCCAGGGAAAGCCCTCGAAACCAACGCCGCTATGGGTACAGACTTTGGGCAGAGCTTCCGCAAGGGGATTGGCATTAGGAAGAGGGACTTGAACGATAAGGATGCCATTGATTCGCTGACTCCGTCCGACACTATTGTTATGTCAAACCCAGGCCGTATATCGCCTCCAATCACTCCTGATGTGGTTTCGGTTCCTCAGTCGCGACAAACTTCGACGGAAATAGCTTCTGAGATTGCGCCAGAAATTGTCGTGTGGACTGAAGATATGGATATGGATATCGACAACGCTAGTCACGTTGAGTCCGACGATGAATTGTCAAGCATCAAAAGCTATGCCGAGTGAGTGGTCTAATGCCTCAACTTTACGTGCTCAATGACTCGGCAGAGTCTTTCAAACCCAATGGTTTCTAACTTGTGTGTAGGGAAGAGCCTCCTCAAACCGACGATGATCCAACGTCATTTCAGGTATCTACTGTAGATGACGCCATGGGCTCTCTTCCCTCGAATCTCACAGAGCTATCAGACCTTTCATCGATACCTTCGACGGTGTCGAGTAAGGCTACTACCCCTACGCCAGTCGAGACTGAGGGTGCACAAGAAGAAGACCAAGACCAAGACCATCCAATCGACGAGCAGCCCCAGTCTCATCAACAATCACCTTCTCATGATGCCGAACGCTATAACTTCAACATCAGATCGAAGGCTTCGATACCAACCGATATGTCAGCATACCAATATGCATCAGAATGTGTCTCGGCCGCCGAGTCAAGCCGGCTCAGTCCATACGCTTTGCATCCGGAGGAATATCACCTCCTCTGTCACCACATATCTTATACGCAAGTAACAACATATCTCAATATCAGAAATGGTATCATACGGTTATGGCTCAAACACCCTTGGATCGGTGTGACCCGGCTGGAAGCGGTTGGGTGTGCCAACGCTCGCTGGTTCGATGCAGCGAGTGTTTGCTATGATTGGCTTGTTCGTCGAGGTTATATCAACTACGGATGTGTGCGACTCTCTGAAGCCGAGACAGATGATACTGTCGCGCCAGTTGTCAAGAGACAAAAGACAATCGCTGTCATAGGTGCTGGTATCTCCGGACTGGGCTGCGCTAGACAGCTTGAGGGGCTGTTCAGGCAGTTTGCTGATCGGTTCCATGAACGAGGCGAGCCTGCGCCTCGAGTGGTTGTGCTCGAAGGACGAGCCCGCGTCGGAGGAAGAGTATACTCTCGCGAGTTCCAGACCAAACCAAAAGAAAAATTACCAGCTTTTGAAGGCAAGCGACATACCGCAGAAATGGGCGGCATGATCATCACCGGATTCGACCGGGGGAATCCTATCAACATCCTGCTTCGTGGACAATTGGGACTCCCATATCATGCACTGACAGCTGATACTACGATATACGACAGCAGTGGAAGAGCAGTCGATCCTGTTCGCGATCAGCTCGTCGAAAAACTTTACAATGATTGTCTAGACCGAGTCAGCGAATACAAACATAAGAATCAACTTGCAAAGCTTGTTGAAGGTAGACGAGACTTCATCGAAGAGGGGCGTGATAGTCCTGGAGACGGCAGCAAGACAATGTTTCAAGAAGAAGAAGAAGCTGCAGCAGCACAGCCAGATGCACCACCAGTGGCACAACAGAACATCCCAGCAGAGGTCAATCTGATACCAGTGTCGTCAGATAAGCTGACGGGTAGGGTTCATATGGAGCCTGGAACTCCTGCGACTACTAAAGCCTCCGACAAGGCAAAAATGATGGGCTGGACAATACGAGACTCAGCTGACGGAGAGAATATTGATTTAACATCGGCAGTGAATGAAGAGGGAGCAACTTTGGGATCTGTTCTTGATAACGCCATTTCCCAGTACAAACAAATTGTTGGGCTGAATGCCCAGGATCACCGACTGATTAACTGGCACATTGCCAACTTGGAGTACAGTAACGCCACAAGCTTGCACAACCTGAGCCTCCCATTGTGGGACATTGATGCAGGTAATGAATGGGAGGGAAGCCATACAATGGTCGTGGGTGGTTACCAAAGTGTGGCTCGCGGCTTGGTTCACTGCCCAAGCTCACTTGACCTCAAGACTAAATTCCCGATCAAGAGCATATCCTACCATACTGGAGAGGGCATGGCCTCAGCTGCGATTGAATGCGAAGATGGCTCAGTAGTTGATGCTGATGCCGTGGTTTGCACTATTCCGCTGGGTGTTTTAAAACAGAACAATATCGTCTTCAACCCACCTCTTCCGTCATGGAAGACTAATGTCGTTGAGCGACTTGGATTCGGCATTCTGAACAAGGTTGTTCTAGTGTACGATAAGATTTTCTGGGACCATGACAGACATATCTTCGGCGTCTTGAGGGAGTCTTCAAACCGGCTTAGTACCTCGCAAAAAGACTATGCCGCGAACCGCGGCCGCTTCTTTCAATGGTTCAACGTATCCAACACAACAGGTCTTCCATGTCTCATTGCTTTGATGGCTGGTGAGGCTGGCTTTGAAACAGAACATTCAAGTAACGACAGCCTTGTGGCTGAAGCAACGGAAGTACTACGCAGCGTCTTTGGCCAGGATGTTCCCTATCCTGTAGAGGCCATGGTTACCCGCTGGGGTTCGGATCGATTCGCTCGAGGTAGTTATTCTTCTGCTGCTCCTGGGATGCAGCCGGAGGACTACGATGTCATGGCCAGGCCTGTCGGAAACCTCTTCTTTGCTGGTGAACACACCATTGGTACGCACCCAGCCACGGTTCATGGTGCCTATCTGTCTGGTCTAAGGGCCGCTTCCGAAGTATTGGAGACCTTGATCGGCCCCATTGAGGTCCCGACACCTTTGATTCTGCCTCGAGATTCTGTGCTGCTACGCAAGCGTAAGGAGCCTGCCCAAGATCAGCAACCAGCACGTCTCCAGGCCTATGAGAATGAGATTCAGACCTATATACAATCAAAGCTCGGGGACCGACCCTCTCGCCCAGCTAAGGTCGCGGGTAATGCGTATATACTATATAGCAAGGATCTATTCGACGTTGCCAGGAAGAAGTGTGAGGAGAATCGCAAACCAGGAAAAGGTGGGCGTGCTGTGCCCAACGAAGTCCGGATCATGACTAGTAAGATGTGGAAGGACGCTACGCCTGAGGAGCGGAAGCCGTACGAAGACCAGGCAACGGAGCAAAAGCGCGGTTACGCTGAAGCTGTTCAGGCGTGGACCCGAGCCACCGAACGATGGGATCACGAGGCCGCTGCGCTGCGAACAGCTTACGAGAAAGAGAATCCCTTTGATGCCGCCAAGATAGCAGAGATCCCTCGCGAGACATCCAACAAACATCGTCGGACAAGACATATAAGTTATGCGGAGGACAGTGACATTGGGTTCTGATATTTGTTTCGACGCATTCCATACCCTCTCCATTGGGTGTTGCTGGCGTTTCTGGGTTTTGTGACTACACTAAGGTGGTTGTTTCGTTCTGGTTGTTGATCATTCTCAAAATATAATACTATAGGTGTCCGGCGTTTTCAGACTAGGGTGGTTGACTTATAACTCGTACTTAAATTTACCCAAGTTTCATCAATCGAAATCCTTACTTCCGCTATCAGCCATCGAAAGACAGTATGCGTTCTTTTTTGGGACTGCCGTGCATTGACTGCATGGGCTACTAAGGAATTTATTGAAGGCTTTGATACAATGGGGGAAACCATGCAGGGATGGTAGCCCGATGACATTTGTTACAAAGGGAAGCATTACACCCCGTCTTGTACTCCCACTCCTTACATGTCCGCAGAGGCAGTAGCACCAGTGATAATCTCAACCAGTTCTCCGGTAATGACTGCCTGTCGAGTACGGTTGAAGAGAATCTGGTACTTGTTGATCATCTCACCAGCGTTCTTGGAGGCGTTCTGCGGGAATTGTCAGTACTAGCCATGACAGTCACGAACTAGTGATACTTACATCCATAGCGTTTCGTCGGGCAGACTGCTCGCAGGCGTGGCCCTCAGCAAGAGCCCAGTAGAGGGAGTTGGCAAGACTGTACTCGCGGAGGTTGCCAAGAACCTCCTCGTCAACCTCGAAGGCTGAGAAGTTGGCTATAATTAGGGGTTAGACATATTGTCGATGACTTTCAAATCCAGGGAAACTTACGGGACTGCTGGATAGCCTCCTCGGAAAATGCCTCAATCAGGGCAGCCTCGTAGGTCTGAGCGTTAACGAAGCTGTTGTACAGAATCTTGATGTCGGTGTACTCAGTAGGGAGCTGGATAACCTGATCGGCGATGGCCTGGGCATCGGCAAAGGTGGGAACATCCTTGCCAATACCAGCGAAGCTCAGCTGGATAGCCGCGGCGTTGGTTCGGGAGAGCTGAGCCTTGGCCTTCTCACCAATGAGGACGAGGTCGAAGCCAGGCTGCTCGGCATGAAGCCGGCGGACGTATCGGGACAGACCAGAGTGAATACCACCGCAGAGACCCTTGTCGGAGGAGCAGACGATGATGAGGGTCTTCTTGTCCTCAGCCTCGAGAGCCTTGGTCTCAGCGGACTCGTAAACCTCATTGGAGGTCTGACCGTACTTGCGGGAGTCGTTCATGGCGCGCTGGGCTCGGGTGAGCTTGGTGGAGGCGACAATCTTCATGGTGTTTGTGATCTTCTCGATGTTTCGGATGGACTTGAGACGGTCCTCGATCTCACGGAGAGTCGCATAGGTGGCAGCGGAGCTGGGGACGGCGGCGGCCCTGCAAGCGCGAAAAAGGACGTCATCAGCATTTTCCTTCTCTTTTATTTTTTTCGGGCGATTATTGGTGGTGATGATCGTGTTGTGATATTCCCCTCGGAACATTCAATTGCCTCTCATAATTTTATTGCAACTCGGTCGGTATTGGGCGGGCGTATGTAGTTCTGATGTTGTGGCCGATGGTCGAGGGTTGAAGAAGCTCAACCGGCAAACAAATTCTTGGACTTCCCGGCAGCCGAGAGAGAGCCACTGGATACTCAAGGGGAGACGGAACTGAGGGAGGAGAGAAACTTACCGAGCATTAGCTGCGGCGGCAGCTCGAAGAGCTGGTCTAGCGGCTCGTGACAACATCGTGACTGAGGATTAGGACGTAGAGAAAGAGCCTCTGCCAACGGTGGCCCAATTGATCGCGATATCCGGATCAATTGATAGAGATGGGGTCGTGTAAGGTCGGAATATGAGGTGTATTGATCGCTGCGGACTAAAGCGTTCAGGTTTGCTCTCGCTATTTTCCCGGGTAAATTAGGTAGCCGACCGGAACTTCTAGGCACCTTGCTTGACAGACACAGTGAGCTACAGCAGCGATTTGGTGCAGTCACGTGAGGCCGTCTCCAGAGGTTCCACTTAGCCGCAATCGCCCCACTTCCTTTTTTCTTGCTGCATGCATGACTAAGGCAAACAAAGCTCTTTAGGCCCCCCGGTTTTCATCCTCTGTGTCAACTCTTCTTCATCCAATCATATAACAGAATTCTGCATTTAGCCCCATTACTGAGTCGCTGCAACTGCTGCGCAACACTTGGCTGAACCACTGAGAGCCAGCGCTGCAGTGCCCACACTCACTCTGCCTGTCTTTTCACTCAGGTGCCTTGTAGGTCCAGTCCTTTCTCGCCTCGCCTTTCCGTCGCCGGGTCCGGGCCTGTCTTGGTCTTGGCCTTAAAGAAAGCAGCAACGCCGCCTCTCGACTTATTCTCCCCAATCCCATTGTTGCTGATTCTCTCCTCTCCAGCTTCTGCGAATATTGTCAAACGCACCCTCTTCTCCTACACAAGGCGTTGAGGGGATCATTTCCTCGCGCTTTTTCCTTCGATATTACGTTTTTCCTCCGTTTGCAGAGGCCTGTTCTTCGTTCTGTCACGCTTTCGCATCTTCAATCCCAGTCCCTGACCTCATTGTACTTTGGTAGGCGACCAGCCGCGGAACGGATACTTGCCTTTAACTTCACAATCATGAGTTACAGCTCTGATGACGATCGCCCTCTTGCGAGGGCCAACGGCCATAGACGTGAGTCGTGTTGTTTTTTTGTTGTTTTTTTTGTCAATTATGATACTGCTTTGCTGGGTTTTGTTCGCGCGCTCATGCGTCCTCATCACGTTGGCGTTTTCAAAACAAAGTTTAGCTACAACTCCTACCACGCGCATGCTTTTACTGGTCCCTATTCTAACACATGAAATCCATACAGTCTCGTCGTCTAAGATTTCTCGCGCCGAAGATGGTGCTCTGGATCAGCCAGTGCCCAAGCAGGCTGCTAAGATGGCTGGGCTGTCGGTTCGCAATGGTCCCCTCGAGGACACGATGGACATTGATGAACCGGCTACCAACGGAGCTAGCAAACGCAAATCGCGTACCTCCATCAGCAAGGTCAACTACAAGGACGATGAGTCGAGTGATGATGCTGCCCCTTTGGTTCGTATTCATGACACAGGAAAACCCTTCCTGTGGGGCCAGGTATGCTGACGATAGTATCGCAGGCCAAGCGGCAAAAGAAGCAAGCCAACAGAGTTCCCGAGTCCGACTCCGACGATGAACCCATCGCAAGGGCCCGAGGAAAGAAACTTCCCCCTTCCTACGACGAGACTGCTTTGCCCGAGTCCTCGGGCGACGATGACGAGCCTCTCAGTGTGAAGCTCGCGCAAAAGAAGCGTGACATGGAGAAGGAAGCTGAGAAGCAAGCCAAGGTGATCCGAGCCAAAGAAAGAACCAAGAAGCCTGCGACAAAGAAACCTGTCAAGGATGAGTCCGACGACGATGTCCCACTTGCAAAATCCTCAGCGAGTAAGCGTCGATCTAACGGAACTGCTGCGAAGCGAAAGTCGAATGGTGTCAAGAAAGAGGAGTCGGATTCGGATGCGCCCATTTCCAAGAAGGCGAAGGCTAAACCCACTTCATCTGCCAAGAAGGCCGTCAAGGCAGAATCCAAGAAGGCCAGCGAGAGTGAGGACGAAGAGGAGTATGCATGGTGGAACGCACCAAAGAAGGAAAACGACGATATCAAGTGGACAACTCTTGAGCACAACGGCGTTCTTTTCCCGCCTGATTACGAGCCTTTGCCCAAGAACGTCAAGATGCTCTACGATGGACAACCAGTTACTCTTGCTCCCGAGGTTGAGGAGGTTGCCACCTTTTGGGTTGCCATGATGACTCCCGCGTCCTCCCATCACCTAGAAAACCCTGTTTTCCGAAAAAACTTTTTTGAAGATTTCAAAGAATACTGCGACAAGTACGGTGTTACAGATGCGCAGGGAAAGAAGGTCGCAATTAAATCACTTGAAAAGTGCAACTTCGACAAGATCTACGCATACTGGAGCGAGAAAGTTGAACAGAACAAGTCCAAAAACATGACCAAGGAAGAGAGGGAGGCTGCAAAGGCGAAGAAGGATGCCCTTGAAGCCCCCTTCACTCACTGTTTATGGGATGGCAGAAAGCAGAAGGTTGGCAACTTCAGAGTCGAACCTCCCAGCTTGTTCCGTGGACGTGGTGAGCATCCCAAAACCGGTAAAGTCAAGCAGCGTGTCCAACCCGAACAAATCACCATCAACATCGGCAAGGATGCCAAGGTCCCAGAGCCTCCCAAGGGACACAAGTGGAAGGCTGTGCAGCACGACCAAAAGGCAACCTGGCTAGCCATGTGGCAGGAGAATATCAACCAAAACTACAAGTATGTGATGCTTGGAGCTGACAGTGATATCAAAGGTCAAAGTGACTTCAAGAAGTTTGAGAAGGCCCGGGAACTCAAAAAGCACATTGATAGAATTCGCAAGGACTACACCAAGGAGCTTAAGAGTGAAGTGATGGCAGATCGTCAACGAGCCACCGCCATGTATCTGATCGACAAAATGGCACTTCGAGCTGGTAACGAGAAAGACACAGAGAACGAGGCCGACACTGTGGGTTGTTGCTCTCTCAAGTACGAGCATATCACACTTGAGCCTCCTAACAAGGTTACATTCGACTTCCTTGGAAAGGACAGTATCCCTTATAGAGAGACTGCCATTGTTGAGCCTCAGGTCTTCAAGAACCTCAAGCTTTTCAAGAAGGCGCCCAAGACTACGGGAGATGACCTCTTCGACCGCCTCAACGTCAGTTTCTTTTCTTTTATTTCCTGTCCGTTGTATAAGGAGGTAATAGCTAACAGAATTGTAGACCTCTCAGCTGAATAGACATTTGACCGGCTACATGAAGGGTCTGACTGCCAAGGTTTTCCGTACATACAACGCTTCCTGGACAATGTCAGAACTGCTCAGGAAGCTCGCTTCCGATCCTCGCTCTCGCGGCACAGTTGCTGAAAAAGTAAAGTTGTACAATGACTGCAATCGCGAGGTTGCCGTTCTGTGCAACCATAAGCGAACCGTTGGTGCTGGGCACGAGCAGCAAATGGCTAAGCTTGGTGACAGGGTAAGTCTGACCTGTGTAGAAGTCGACCACTCCAGATACTGATTCTTTTCTAGATTAAAGGCCTCCGCTACCAGCAATGGCGAACAAAGATGATGATTCTCGATATTGAATCTGGTTACAAGAAGAAGAAGGGCGCCGCCTGGTTCGAGAGGGATGAGGACTTAGATGACGAGTGGGTCAAGGAGCACCAGCAATTCTTACTTGAGGAGCAGCGTACAAAGATCACAAAAAAATTCGAGAAGGACAACGAAAAACGCAAGGCGGACAAAGAGAAGCCCCTCCCCGAGAAGGAGCTCAAAGAACGTCTTCAGGCCGTCAAGGAGATGGAGGCCAAGTTCAAAAAGGAGAACAAGACCAAGAAGGTCGAGGCTGAAGGCAGAGGTGTTACTGTTGACAAGCTTCTAAAGGCTGTGGACAAGTTTGATGAGCGCATCAAGACACTGGAGCTTCAGGCCCAGGATCGTGATGGCAACAAGGAGGTAGCCCTCGGCACCTCCAAGATCGTGAGTACCACCGAAAACCCGTTGAAGTTCTTTGACTGACTTATTATTCATAGAACTACATTGATCCTCGCCTCACAGTGGTCTTCTCCAAGAAGTTCGACGTTCCTATCGAAAAGTTCTTCTCCAAGACTCTTCGTGACAAGTTCCGATGGGCCATCAAATCTGTTGAGGATGAGGATGACTGGACCTTCTAAGTTCTCCGTGAGGGTGTTGGCGTACAAAAAGAAAAGTGCGGGAGGCTTTTGGTTCTGTTGCTTTTATACTAATTTGCTTGCTTTTTTTTTTCCTGGAATTTTTGTAAGAATACTCGGATGTTGCTTTCGACATGAGCAAGGGCAAGATCAAGGAGACAAGAGGAGAAAGCACACCGAGCGAAGCGCAAGCTCGCGATGTGCTTTTTAGGTGCAGGGTGAACGGCCTTAGAACGCAGAACGCAGACAACGAACTCGCAGGCGCTGAGATGGGTTGCTGGGAGCATTTAAGGGGGTTATTGGCGGCAGAGATTTTAGTACCTTAGAAGTCATACCTATAGAAGAAGCACTTCGCATGTTGCTGGAGTTTTGGTGGCCTCTGGAACGGGGTTGACTCCTTCCATGGCTCTGCTAACGCTTAAACATGGACGAGACAGGCACGATTCTGATAAATATACTTACTAGTGCTATACTTTTCTACATGTTTATGATGAGAAGGTATTTTACATCCTCAAGTGTGCATTAGTCCTCGTGGAATATATATGTTGATTCATTATACACCGCCTGTCTATCTAATATTTGCCATGTGTCTATTCTTTACAACCAAATGCATTGCGCCGTCGCTAAGAGCAATATATGTCAAAACCCAAATACCAACCAATTGCAACTAAATACCAAGTTCCAGAAACGCCGACCAACCTCGCCATGTAAATAAGGTATCACATCCATGCATGCTCTCGGTGCTGTCTAGAAGTCATCATATGCCGGACAATGTACATGAGCTCAAACCCAAGACAATATGTGCTGTCGAATCGCCATATACAGGTCATATACAGTGAAGTGAAGTCAAGGTGTTTCTTCTCTAGAAGAAACGACCAGCAAATGCCATGATGCCAGCCAAGAAGGGTATAACAGCAATAACGTTGTGTAAAGGCTGAAGACCCAAGGCGCTGTTCTCGGCGGGAATGATCTTTCCCTTGGCGTTGAGCCTCCAGCCTTCGGGGATAGCTCCGCCAGAAGGTCGAGAGCCGGTCCAGGGCCATCCTGTCTGTGTAGCTGTAGCAGGACTTCCATCCTCGGCAATACCTCCGACGGGAACGTTTCCATCTGCTGTGGCGACGGTTCCTTGGGCGGTAGCAGTAACAGTCATGGCATCGCCGTTTTCGTTGCCGTTGATCTCACCGCCGACAGATTCGATTGACTGCCAGGAGCCAGATGTGTCCTTGTATTTGTACTCGTCACCAGTTGAGTAGTCCGTGACAATAACACTTTTGACTTTCATGGTGAAGGGACCTTTGGAGTAGTCTGTTGGTCCACGGGCCCATTTGACGGTGCCTGCGGAGTTTGTATTGGGATCACCACCAGCCCAGGCGCCGAACTTGACTTGCATTGGAGTCTGAGGGTATTGATTATCCTCCGCGTCGCCTGCGTTGAGGGTTCGAACGACAGTGCCTCCAGCCATCCAGACGATACGGTCCTTGGTCCAGTCGATGGTATATGTAATCCACTCGCCCTGCGTATTTGTCACGTCGTGAAACTCGCCGCGGTTGTACGAAGTAGTCTGGCCCTTTCCAAAGTAGTTTGACTGGATCTCGTCATTATCGGAGCCGAGCCATTCAATGTCGATCTCGTCGAGCACATCGGACTGGAGAACGAGCGACGATACGATACCGGCTCCGGGAGCAGCCTTCATCGTGATCTCGACACGGCCGAACATGATGTAGAAGAGGGATGCCAGCTGCGGTGCGTCATTGGCGCGGGCGACGGTGAAGGAGACGCCCTCGTTGTCGTATTTGGGTGAGCCGGAGGCTGCGAAGGAGTTTACCTCGCCTTTGGAGAAGTCGATGTTGATGCTCATGCCGAGGGCATCGTCGCTGGGACAGTTGCCTGTAAGTGACTGGTTAGTAGGATGGTGGGTTGAATGGTTGATAGAGTGTGCGTACTGTTTTGGAGAGGGTTGCATTTGCTCCATGTCTGGGCTGAGACTGCAGCAGCAAGCAGCACGGTGGCTGCGGCTGAGGCTCTGGACATCCATCTCATGTTGGGCTGTATGTGCTGTGGTAGGTATGGTATGATATGATATGATATATACGGTGAACAAGTAGCTTGGAAAAGCTATCGTCGTCAATGTGAGTAGAACTTTATTCTTCAACTTGTCTCGGGTACCGTGTATCAGTACTCGACAATGTGTAGTAGTAGTACAATGGATAGACTCGAGGCTTATGGTGATTGTTGGTGTAAGGAGAGGAAGAATGGTAAAGATGCAGGTTCCCGTTCAGGACTAAAAAGTGAAATATTACGAGCAAAGACACGTCACGTCACACGCTTGGCCTAGAAATTCAACGCTCACCGTTTTCCGGTTTCTTCTTGGGCTGCCGCGTAATAGTAATTGGCCCCGTACTTGGTTATTTTGGCGCCCAAGATTGATCAATTGGGAGGTTGGGAGCGTTTCTTGCAGATATAATGGGATGTAGTGCTGTATCCAATTCCGTGTTGCCGGGTGGCTGGGAAATCGGGTGGCTGGGCTGGCCCGGCCCGTGTGGCGCTACGGATCCCGGCACCGTTTTTTTTGGTTACCCTATATCCGGTGCGTGAACATGATCACCATTTGACATGAAGTGTCTGGATGGTATACTGGTTAAACGTTGCAGGATGCTGACTTGCATAGCATTCGCATGATAAATGTGTTAGAATTCTTACAATTACTATGCCTTCAATAATGTTAAATATGCAACTTTTATACACACATTGCTGGTGAATAATTGTTTGTGTTTTGATTTCCACGTAAACTTGAAATTGAATCACCGAGTTCTTGATACTAAATATTCAACAGAAGTTATTCAGTGAATGGTTAAGTTTGCACACATTATCTCGCCGTAGCCCATTTCGTTGTCCAACACTCCACTACTTCAAAGTCGTGATGTCAATGTCGCAGTTGCAGTGTCCGACTTGACCTCAACTTGAACACCAGCAAGAAAACAAAAAAGGTATTTGTTTCAGATGAGCAGGACAGTATTTCCCGCACATATCAATTACGCAGATCTTAAATACAAGGTGCCCAACACCATCGAGGGTCATCTAGACTGATCTCACACTGATCTCGATCCTTGCAATGGCATGCAATGAAACATCCCTTACTGAAGTCTAAATCGACAGCAGTCAATCAGAATTCATTATCGATATACTGGCATGTTAGGGCTGGATCTTCTGTCTCGCCAAACACTCTAAAATGCGCGCCCTGGCATAAAGCGTACAGCCACAACCACTCTATCCAGACCAGATCCAACACTTACACGTGTAAGCCATGTCGCAGATCAGCCCTTGCATCGTCTCTGGCACCGTCATCACTCGCATATAAGCCTCCATACCAACGTTTAACTCTCTGCCTCAGAATTTGCTGGAATGGTACAAACTGCTCGACTGTCGAAGTGAAGTACCCTACACCATCCATTTAGGAAATCATCGCGATTGAGATGATCTGACGGCAAGCAATCGAGTCACCGACATTTTGATCAGCAAGCAAGTGGGGGACGACGAAAAAGAAGAAAGTTGATGAGGAAAAAATCAAGTCAATAAGACCCCCCATCATCATAAACTTTGCTTCCCTCAAAAACTACTTACCTACTACGTTCGTATATGTAGACTGGGCCGAGTCTAAGCTCGTAGGCGAGACAAATAAGCAAAGAGAATGCAAGCGAGAAAGAAAAAGACATAAACACAGAAAAAAGAAAAACAAAGGGCAGAGCTACACTCACTCTAAAGCCATCTGATGACAGATAGATGATCAATTCCAATCAAAACTCTTCTTCGTATCCATCATGTCTATATGTTAACTCTGTTATGCGTCTGCTATGGAGCATCATGACAGCATATCACTGTACACACGCTGCCCTCGGTCGAGCTGACCAAGCAGATGCAGGTCCAAAATCTGATTCACGATCTGTCAACAAATGATGCACCCAATCAGCATCTCCAAGTCCGCCGTGAAACCTTCAGAAAAGACTTTTATATTATCCCTCGCATATATCAGAAGTGACCGCCATTCTACGCCGCGTCTGTGGGCATAAACATTCCCGACGGCACAGAATTCTCCTCCTCCTCCTTGCACTCGCCGGATCCCAATCGATTCACCGTGATCCCTTGCTTCTCTTCCGTGCCTCGCCGCCACATGAGGCCATCCGGGGATATTCCTCTCTCGTACTGCTTATCCCGCAGCGAGAGACAGTCGATTCCCCACCCTCACATATCGTCCTCACTTCTCGAATCCCGCATGCCCTAACCCCACAGAGCACGCCGAAGCCAACTGCCCGTGGTTGCTTTGTCTGCAGGAATGGAGCTAAATCTGCATGAAGCTGCTTGTTTTGGTATATCCAAGTCTGTTAATCGACCAGTTGACAAAAGGTCGACATTGGGTATAGACCGTGGATGCATGCAAAGCTAAAGTTATTTCACAATCCGCCTGGAAAACCCCAAATCCGTATTATCGATACACCTTTGTTACTGTACTCCAATCTTTGACGTCAAACAGTTATTCGACATGTTTCAGACATCCACTCGGATATCTCTAACGTCTTTTTGTCCCCTCATCATTGGCTCGATCGTTTCATCTTCAGCTGAGCAAATCTAAACCTTTGTCTCGGCCTCGTGTCATGTTGCGTTGCTTGTCCCTCAGCCCACACTGGTGATCCCAGACCTGACATTTTCCTGGGCATGCGACATGTACTAGACACAGTCCGTGATCCGTGACCGCTTCATCTAGACATGATAGGACCCTCATGCTCCATCTGAGGTGTAATATGCATAACCATGAAAATGGCAAATGGCCCTCGCATAAGTCAGATGTAATCTATCATATCATATGATGACATGTTGTGAAATGGCGACAGGAAAACATGATATAGAGAAAAAAGAAAAGAATACTGAAAATGGTTAGATGGGGTGGAAGAGGCGACAGAAATGAGAGAGTAAAAAGCAAAAAGTTGAGGCAAAAGAGACAACAAACGAGAAATAAGACAGGACAAGACAGGACAAAGCAAATAATTAGCCGAGCAGTTCTCGGTAGGCAAACATGGTGAAGCCATAACTGAATCCTTCCGACCAACCTGCTGAGTGGGGGTTCAAAGTTAGTGAATTGATACTGTAACTCGCAATAATTACAGATAGGTAATAATGATAGACTGTTATGCCGAAATGACACACCATCTCATCTAAAAAAAAAAAAAAAAAATCATCATCAAACTTAGTCTAGGCATTGAGCCGTTGCTCTTAGACTCCGACTCTTGCGGACCGCACCTCGTCCGTCAATCTCACACGGGTTGGCCCGGAGCTGCCGTGCCCATCAATGCATATCCATCATTGACAAACGATAATTAAAGAGTTTGTCATTTTATCCCGAGACTGGTATGGCTCGTCCATGAATATCCGCAAGTCATCATGCTATTTTGAAATATTCGGGTTTCGCCAGATTCGATTTGAATTGCACCGTCGTATTGAGCATCCGCTTCGTCTCAGAGAACCAGGCATAGGCATAAGAACGTTCGTAAAGACCCATACGCACAGGCACCTCTTGACTACTAGGTCCGACTCTGACGGAGGTGATCGCATAGACGCATAATGAGAAAGAGAGAATCCTAGATTCAAATGCTTGCTCGCCAGGGGTGGGACGGACGGCTCAGAGGCAATCAACCTTCCACTCCAGGTACACCCATACCTGAGACAGACACTACCCTTCCATGCGGTGTGAAGAGAGATAGAGAGAGAGTCAAGATGACCAGCAACGACAGCAACCCAGAGGCAAACAGGAAAGGCTTGCAATGAGGTGACGAGCCGTTTCTGTTGTTTGTGAGCTAGGCTATTGCGGTAGCAAAGTATCAATCCTTGAGCGTGGAACCACCAGGCGCTGAGATTTTCTTTTTTTTCTCTCCGATTGTCTGTAGTTGTCACATGAAAGAGAAGCCACTGGGATCTATTCCCGTGTTCTCATGTCCTTGAAAATCCGACTTCTTCTTTGTTGCTGATCATTGCAATACATCGCAAACTAAACCATTGCCTCTTTTGTGTGCGGTAGGTATGCTGTGATTGCTGCGCACTAATGCATGGTAGAGCTTCCCGTTCGTTTGGTTTTGGTTTGGCAACCATAACACTGCGAAATTGCGGACCCTCTGCAGGTGCAACATCAAATAACAGTCAACAAAGTGAGGCTGTTTGACTTAGCAGGCAATCCAACAACCTCTTGATCCTACCGAGCTCTCGTGAAGCATCCCGATCACATTCAATTCATTGCAGCAGGTTCAAGTCACGCACGGAGCCCATGGTCCGCCATCGACCCCGACAGCATCTCAAGCCTGTTCCACGTGGGTTGGCAGCTTTCATTGAGGGCATGTGTAAGACCGTGCGGTGTCGGTTGATAAGGTTGACGGAAAGGCCACCAGACTACTCACATTGACAGGCCGTACTAGCATCGTAGACTGTACCAAAGCCCAGGGCTTGCTGGATAGGGTCGAGGGAGAATTGTTGTTTCGTTTTGGCCTCCGTATCTCGCTCGTATCACACGTACCCTGGAGGGGTCTATTATATTACCATTAGGCGGATGTTGTGCTTGATGATGAAGCTCAAAAGTGCTCCATCAACAGCAATGTCTTGCATCAAACAAACCGCAAGGAAACTTGCTTGAATCGTATAGACCGAGGCTCTTGACCTCCCGCTCCATACCGTAGTAGATCGTCAACATGGATGGACATGAACTCAACCCGACTACCAGTTCATGTTCTTGAGCGTCGAGGTATGATCTTGCGCTATGCTGGGATGCGATTTGAAACCTTCGAGAAGTCCCAAGGACATGGTCGGCGGAATGGCCAGTCGTCTTGGACAAGGGAAGTATTATTAGCGTTGGTTCCGGATGTCATCTTGCCAGGGGTACCCCGACCACCAGCTGATTTCGAAGTCTCTCCAGTCCTCCACACTGATGGTTCCTCATTTTGTCTCTATGGTATCAAGCTGTTGTATTGACTCGCGTTTGAGCGGGCCTGCCATTCATATCGACTTCTGAAGACGGAACAATCAAATCGTCCATCTCCAACTATCACCAGTCAGGCACGTCCGATCCTGCATCCTGGGTCCAGCTATTTCCCCAGGCAGTCTGCGAGTTTGGTTTGAAGAGCTGCGGGTGTGACAAGGTAACCGGTTCCACTAATTCTCATGTTGGATGCATGAACGCGTTGGATTGCCGGGTGTCCTGGGGACGGAAGACAACGTTGTTGGTCAGTATCTGGCAATCTCATATTACCCTCTGATAATTCAGGCATCGTCACACACCGAACATCTGCCAGTCTAAGAGGTTTGCCACGACGACACCACCTATTAGCAAAGATGAGAAGCTTGAGATGGCCTGGACGGGTCGTTCATAGCCACTAGCATTAACTCATGATTTTCATCAAGCTAAACTATAGATTTGACTGTGGTCAATTGACACGGGACGACGACACTATTTGGGACTGGCTAGCACCAACTAAATCATGCCCACTGAGAAGTCTGTCTATGTGAATAAACTGAGTCCTGAGAAGCGATCTTCCAGAATCATGCCAGTTGGAAGCGTCCGGGCTGAACAACCAGCATATTGATTCGTTCGAAACTGTATTTGGCCGGGCTGAAATCCGGGGAGCGTCCCAAGGGCCGGAGGACAGGGATCATTACAGCCTAAGTCTCCGGGGGCCTTATCAGCGAGACTGGCTGGCCACACGGCTACCTATCCGGGCCGTTGCCAAATCTCCAACAAGTCCCGCCAGTCCATATCAAAACAGGGGGACCCCTGATGGAGTGGAACCATCAGGGGCCCCTGTTCGACCGCCCATCAGGGTCCCATCCACTCCTAGACGGTACAGTTGACCCAAGCCCAGGTGAAGCCAAGAACTCGCTTCCCAGAGACGTTGTGCCGGGACCTCATGATGGTGCCGATAAATGAGTCGAGAGTTGTGATTGTGAGAATTGACTGTGCGGCTTGAAATGTCCGCTTCTGTCGACAAACATCAGCGATAAGCTTTATTAATTGAAGAGAGATATATATATATATATACATATATATTGTGCCAGGGCGGAAAGGCATTTGATATTCTCAATGTGAGAACTTCTCTCCCAAGCCCTGGCATCCGCGGACGCGGATTCGATTGCCTGCAGTCTGGGGGTGGTTAGGCGTACATAGTTGGTGGCTCGCGGAACAAAAAGAATCCAACACGTCGGATCCTCTTTTTGCCTCGCTCTCAAAAGTGGTTAGCTCCCACTGAGGATCTTGAGGTATACAACTCGGCCAAGCTTGCACACCTGTTGCACCAGGATGTCCAAACCCGGCTCCGCGAGACCAGAGGCTGCCACTAACAAGACGATGGAGCTGTCGATGCTCTCAATGTTCAGGGCCTGTACCATCTTGTGGTCTCTGCACGACGGCGGTGTCGATAGCTTCAGAGCACGTTCTTACAGAGACCTGTGAGGTGGAGAGAGTCTGCAAAAGGCCCGCGAAGAGGATCAGTGGAGCTGACAACTCGAGCATGGACTGTCGGGCGGCCGAATAGTCCAAAACTCTTCAACGCAGTCGACGGAGTCGAGTGGCCACTTGCCACTGATATCATGTTTGTACGTAGCCCATGATGATTACTATTTGCATTTCCAAGGTCGTCTCTCAAGATGGACCACGGTGATGTGCTGAGAAGTATTTTAGGCTGGACCAGTAACTATTGCTAGAATCCCCCCCCCCCGAGGATGCAACTCGGCCATGAACCGCGATGTTGAAATAAACCCTGTCAATCTCGCTGTCTTGTAGCGGTTTGATTCAGTTGGTGATCAGTCTTTTTAGTGAGCCATAATTCAATGTGATCTATATGCGATGCGACGCGTTGGCAAACGGCAGTCCCTGTTCTCTTATTAGACAGGTCAAATATGTTTGTTCGTGGCACAAAGCGATACACTTTATCAAAACAGTTTGCAAGGAAACTGTTTGTGTGACAGCCACAATTGGCTTTTCTTGTTCTTGTTCCTGCATCACGGTGGCGGTCGCTTCAGAAAAGCCCTGTCTGCTATGGCTTTCTGCATCAGATTGGAACGTTGTCATGCAAGGTACTAAGAGTTGCCACCAATAAGTCGACATGGGCCAACGAGGGGGTCGCCCTACTAACGAGACAAACTTGCCCACAAAGCTGACCCGAGCTGTCAACGGATCCTTGAGACCCTAGCAGGCACCCCAGAATCGTTAGTTGCCCGGCTGTTGGAGGCGATTTTCATGGATGTCTGATCGGTAACTACTACCTGAGAAGGAAGATGAAGCATCTCGGTTTACCAAGAACATTGAGGGAACAAGAGAACCAAAGTACTGTGGGAGACAACGGGAGGAATTGATCAAACACAACACTTCTCTGTAATCATAGCCCCAACTCTTTGGCGGCCTCAAATCGGCATAAGGATAATGTCAGTTTTAGTGGCGAAGATCTTCAGTAATTTGGCATGGGTGAGCGTCCTTGCACTGAGAATAGTTCTTTGAGACCTGTGAGAAGGTTTGTATGGCTCTGGATTTGGGGAAGAGTAATTTGTACCTAGCTACATCGTGCGGGCGCTCGAATGCATAAGCACGCACAAGTACTGACCTAGGAACACAACTGAGTCCATCTTTGGGCTAAAACATCAGGAATATGGATCCTCCTGTGCATGTGCGAGCTCAGGTGCTTGTGCATATGTGGCTTGCATCAGGAAATGAGATGTCGATTTGTGCCTTGATTGTGCGTTGGGATGCGTTCAACGTGCTCATTTGAGCAAGTGACCCATGCACTATTCCACATAATGCCATTCTCGTATGAACTGTTCCTGGCTAATGCAACCCCAAAGCATAGCACCACAGTCAGGCACAGCGACTTTGTGCATCAGCTAGGGTTTCAGGTTCGAGGATATCCTTATGCTGGCCAATGGGACACCACCCGGCGCTCTGGCCTGGCATCGTCGGACGGCCACAATTCGGTCATGCCGTTCATAATAGGCATGGTTTAAAATTATTAGTTATCCACTCATCACCATCAACACCCGGTCCTAACGTCGCGTTCCTGGAGAGAGCATAGTCGAGTATACTGGGTCAAACCACCGTCAGGAAGGGTTGACTTCGATAGTGAGGCGGAAACACGGGTAGAAACATTCGTATCAGAGACATCCAACGGAAGCCGTGAGAAGGCGAGACAAAGCTTGGGGGACATC